TTGCTCGAGGGCTGGCAATACCATGTCCAACGGTGTGCCAGCCGTAGAAAAACATTCCAAGGGCTTGAATGGGCAAATCCCAAGTTCACGCTTGAGAAAGTCACTTCGCTAGGACAGACTAAATTGGGTCTCCTCCGGACGGCCCTTAATGGAACGTTCTTCACTGCCGACACTCAAGCACATAACGCTAAAGCACATACCCTAACATGCAAATTCTGTGGGGGCCAAGACTCACAGTACCATAGGTTCTGGGAATGCAAAGCGTTTGAAAGCCACCGTCCATACCCATGGTTGGCAACCAATGTCCGAGCCGGGGGCCTCCCCAAATGTCTAACATATCATGGATGGATGGGCCTTCCCCAATCGGTGCGTGATTTTCAGCACTGTTTGCAAAACCAGCCGGACCTCACAGGATCATTCGACATGCCGCCATTTCAGCCGGCGGATTTGTTCGTAGACGGTTCATGCATTCGGCCGACATGTCCATACACTAGGGTGGCGGGCTGGAGTCTCATTGCTGCGGATCCAGCAGACACAGATGTTTGGTGGCCGATCGCACAGGGAGGAGTTCCGGGATGGAGGCAGACCAGTGGGAGAGCTGAAATCCTTGCAGCCATAAGTGCTCTACGCTTTGCCCTGCACCAAGGCAACAGCATTAGGATTTGGAGTGATAATGCACAAGTTGTTAACACTTTAACTCAGGCCCTCCAGGCACCCGATAGATGTAAGGTCCATCCCAAAGACCAGGATCTCTGGCACGTTCTCATAGCGCTTGCACGCACAGCACAGTCATCGCTTGTCCAGGTCTATAAAATAGCCAGCCATCAGAACCTTGACCAGGCCACATGGATTGAAAAGTGGGCATTCCTTGGGAATGAAAATGCTGACCATAGTGCCCATTGTAGCACCATGTACCCATGCCAAGTTTTTCGCAAGTGGCAACAAGCAGTCACGGACCTCGATGCAGCACGTGTCTTAAGGGACCAAGTCCATGCCACCATTCTGCAGGTTAGTGAAGCTGCCGTGACCAAAACAATGCCAATTTTGGCAACGGAAGACACGCAAGAAGCATGCCCCTTGCCACTGGTAGAAGTCACCATGGCTCCGCTACCACCCCGGCCACAGACTGCCACCCATAAACTGGTCGGCACAGGGTGGGACACGCTAGCTAGTTGGTCGCAGTCGCTGCAACACCCGAATGCACCAGTGATTTACATACCATGGCTGTACCTGTTGATTGATTTTGTTCTTCACTCAGGAAGGGGCGGCATACGCCCAGTGCGAAAATATAGTACTTGGGAGTGGCTCACTCGGGACGGAGCCCAACAGTTTGACTTGCAAGAGCGCATCAAGTGGTTCCGCATCTTTCTTTTGCGAATCCACAAACTTGAGTCTGTTCAGCTTTCGACGCAGTATGTCAGACCGTCCTCCCGGATCACAGTCTTTTGGGCACACTGCATTAGCTGCCGGATGTGTGAGACACGTTTCAGGGCAGTTGAAACCTTCATCCAACAGTTCAAGGCGGCGCTCAACCACGGTAGTGATCTCTTAGCTGTCACGCTTTAGAGATTTTCCAGGGATATGGCATCCCCCGCGAAAGCTGCGGTGCCGGAGTCTTTCGGAAAAGCGGAAAAGTGGAGGCTATCGCTACTAGGGTGGAGCCATCGCTCAATTGATTTAGCTACTAGGCACCCGCGGGCCCAGGCGTACGGTGATCGACGGTCTTTCTTTGTGAACCAGGCAGAGCTTAGTTTATCTAACGAGTGCGACAAATCGAAAGACGTTCCGAAGCGTTTATGCTCGCCGAGAAGCCCTTCGCTGGGAGGCCATCAACCTTTTGTATATCATTTATGGCGGCGCCATTTTGTACCCAAGGAGCATAGTGTTGTTTTGTAAATCGAGGGGAGCAGCGAAAGAAGGATAGTGAGGCTTCCATGTGGGTTGCATGCGCCATGCAACCTGCACGCTGCAAGATTTGTAGCTCAATGAGTTGTATTTTGTTGATGTTCTTTTGGAGGATGCTGGTCACCAATGTTGTGACCAAAGAGATGATGACTTTCCCAAAGAGGCACTTTGTCATCATGGGTGCGCCAAGAATGGCTGTATGTGGCTTTGTGTGAGAAAACATGTGGCTGCATCCGAAGGTACCCTCGATAGCCTTGGTACTTTTTTGACATGTCTGGCACCTCTGACTCTGATGATATTTGATGATCGTGATATGGATATGCAGTGCTCCTGGCCACTCTGATGATATCCGACGCTACTAGGGGCTCCTGGCCGTACTACTAGGAACAAGAAGTTACTAGGAGCTTATTCGCGTGATTGTTGTCCCTTTCAGGTCTTGGAACTGCTTACACTCCGGGCTCTGTAACACCACTGCCACTCCAGCGCATTTGAGCCACAAGCAGCAACAGTTGATTCTAGCAATTGCCAGGCTCAACCAGCTTTTGATTCCCTTCACCATGCTGGTGTCGCTGCCTCAGACATTCCTTATGTTCTCATGTTGAAAAAGAAGCCTGCAGGTCCACGACATGGTTGGGAATAGCCAGCCACTGGAAGGAGCGATGTGGTCTGCCTCTCTGCCAGAGATCCATCCATTTAGCCCACCTCGAGGAACAGGTTTCCAAACTTGTCGTGATGCAGATGGAAGGGAAGTTATATATATGCAATGTTGTGTCTCAAGTTGCAGCCGAGGTGCTTTTCTTATTGTGGTTGGAGCTTGCATCAGCGCGTGTTCCTCGAACTTCGAGATATAGGACCAGTATCGGAGCTTCCTTCAGCCGCCCAGGTTCTACCCAAGATTGTTGATGGTTCTAATCCGTGAAGTGCTAAGCTGACTCAGCTGACTTAGGCCATCTTAGGCCCTAGGCTCATTTTTTCCACGTGCCGTGTTTGTTTACGCCAATTGTCGACACACTCCCTCCACAATGCCGAGGATGCAAAGCGTAGCTGCCCAGAGCCGGTGGTACGCAGGGTACTCAGGACGGCACTACGTCCGTACTTCGTGGCATTTTGTGTCGCAGAGGGGCAAAGGGGCGATCTAGCACGGGGCTCTTGAGGCGATCCTCTTCCTACTAATGGCAATGGCCGCCAACCTACTAGTAACTTGCATGGCGTCTTGAGGCGATCCTCTTCTATGCGCTTAGCAACTTTCCAATGGCCGCGTCAGCGGCACAGGCGGCAGAGAGAGTTTGAAAGAGCACACAGACACAAGGGGTGCATGGCCACACTGCAAGTGGCTACGGTCAAGGTCAAGCTGCTATAAAGAAGCAACCTTCGAAAACATCCACTTGGACGTTTGGAGCTGTCCTCAGTTGGGCGAAGTCGACTGCTGTTCCAAATGTGGAATTCCGTGGAATCATCTCTTGGCAAGGTACTTGACGCAATGGGTGTCCATTTGGCAGTTCGTGGTGGCTGGATTGCACTTTGACAACTGCCTTTCGTGCCCTCCAAGCCTCTGATTTGCCTCCCTGTACCTAAGAAGCTACTGGGGGCTCCTGGCCTTACTACTAGGAGCAAGGACGCTACTAGGGGCTCCTGGCATCGCTACTAGGAGCATTCTTACTACTAGTAACAAGAAGCTATGTTCATTTCCGCCTTCCTCCTTTTTCCGCCCTTCTGCTCCTCTCCTTCACTTGCATTCCAATTCTAGCGTCCTTGCTCCTAGTAGCGTCCTAGGCTACTTCATGAGTCATTTGTCAAACTTTGCATTGGAGACTCAAGTCTGAAGGGATTTGATATCGAAGGTCTCGTTTGTCTACATGCCTTTGCTGGTGCTGCCGGGCTTCAGCAGCAAGGAGGGCATGACCATCAGCGATGCCAGAACCTCAGCATTTACACACAACTGACTTATCAAGACATGGCTGTGAACGGTTGGCCAAAGGACCTGCAAGGCAAGGACCTCCGGAAGCGCACATCCCTTGTGGTTCAAGATCTCCTTCCTGTCTGTTTGGCTCTCTTTGGCTCTTTGGTTTGTCCAGCGTCAAAGACCAACTTTCATCCTTGGCGAAAAGAATTCGCACCAGCACATCGGCTAGCGGCTAGTGTTGCACACTTCTGAGGTTGCACAGATTTTTTACTTTACATTTTCTTGGGGGGTTTGATTGACGTCCAGAACTTGAAAACCTGCCTGTGAGATTGATTGAATGCTACTTCAAACGAGGGGTCGCGATGAGATGTTGTATGCATTGCCTACCCAGGCTGTTGATGACAGTTAAGCAGATATAAAGTTTCCAATATATAGACGGAATTTGCAGCACTACTGGTCAGACTCCATCACTTGCAATCTTCTGTGTCCCTGTCGCTGTCTTTGTGTTTGTTTGTGGGCAAGATGCAGTTCCGTATCTTTTGCATTTTTCTGCCAGGTCATGGATGCCTTCGCTGATGGGTGGACCTGCTACACTCAGCAGGACTTGCACTTGCTTCTGGCTAGGAATCTTGCGAATACGAAACAGCTTGAAACGCACCAACGCATGGTAACGGCGTGGTTGTGCAAGTTCGAGAGAAGTGGGCATGCCGGGAGAGCCCTCAAAAACACGTCCCAGTTCTCACAGTGCAGGATGAAGCTTGTGCACGGGGTGGTGCTTTCCTACTGCTCACGGGTAGTTGGCCCGGATGCAGTAGAGTTGTTTCGTGGTTGCTGAACCAGTAAGTGAACATCAGTGTGGGTGATCAGCAAGGTGTCGGCTTTTTTGGTGCAAGATGTTCTTAAACTCTTTGCCAGATTATGCGCGCTCTGCCTGCAGTATAGCCCTTGTTAGTGGCTATTCATGAGTAAGGAACTTTTAAACAGTTGGTAGCCAACCAGAGCAAAGCAGCGTGGACCGAGATGGATAGCACTTTGTCAACATGGAGCCCGCCAGAAGATGCCAAGAAATTGTTGCAACATCGTAGGTCATAGGATTCTTCCAGCACTACTCGTAGGGCAGACCAAGAAGCACCATTGACACACAGCGACAGACGAAGCATCAGCTCTGGCCACTGCCTGAGCAGCCTGCGCAATGCCGTCGATTTTTGTGCAGCACCAGCGCATGCGAATGCTGTACCGGCTTTTGCTGGCCCCTGGGCGAGGAAGCTTCAGATCATTCATTTGCGGGATGTATTTCTCCTCCTTCTCCTACCCCACAAGACTTGGGCAGTCCATTAGGAAGCACAAAACATCTTGTAGGACATCAACCTTCGCGTAAAATATTATCTACCACAAGCATTCTTGCCGTGGACTAATTGTATCTGGTGCCAGGTGCTGTCTGTGGGCATGTTGCTTGCCGCGGTAGTTAGCGGCGATTTTCGGCAAATACTGCACATGCTGCCTCTTTGTGGCTTGCTGATGCTATCAGCTTTGAGGTCCGCCGACGGGTCGGAAGGGGAGAGTGTGTGAGATGGAGAGGACACCCAACACAGATCCCAAAATAGCAAGTTTGCAAGTGGTGCTTTAAATATGACTTCTTCAAGCCAAACATGACAGGCATATGCACCATCACAAAACGCCAAATCCTGCAGTTTTCCTTTTGAACATGGGCTGTGGGATTTGAGTGGGTGTTGTGGGGCATAGGTATCCAAAAAAAAAGCATCAAAAAAACAATAAAAACAGAATCAAAAAAAATAAAAAGCGAATCAAAAAATAAATATTCCTTGATAGGCCTCTTCTGCTGCTCTCCTGGCCTTGTGGTCTGCGGGTCCTCTGGTAATGTGGTCCCTTGGTCCTCTGGTCCACTGGTCCTTTGGTCCCCTGGTCCCTTGGTCCTTTAGTCCACTGGTCCCCTAGTCCTCCGGTCTCCTGGTCCTCTGTTCCTGTGGTCCGCTGGTCCCCTGGTATCCTAGTCCTTCTGTCTCCGAGCGCTCTGACAACGCCATGTAGGGCCTAACTTCGTGTGAACGCCGTGACTACTGCTACTGCTACTGCTACCACTACTACTGCTGGTGCTGCTGCTGCTGCTACTGCTACTGCTACTGCTACTACTACTACCCCAACCATCCTCAGTGGGCTAGAATATTATTTTTTGATTACTTTTTTTTTTTGGGGGGGATCCCCGTTGAACATATTTTTTTTTGATTCTATTTTTATTTTTACTTTGATCCCTTACCCGTGTTGTGGTATTTATGTGGGGTTTAAGAGTAATGCCAGCCATGCAAACACCCAGAAAGTGGGAAAGTGGAGAATCACCCAACACCACTTCAATGGTTCATGTCAAAAAGGTAAAACCGAGACGAAGGGCAGCATTTGCCCGTACAGTATAGTTGCTAAAAAAGAAGGAAACAACCAAAAGGTCACCCCAGAAAGTTGGAGGCATGTTGGAAAGGAGCAGTGTGGTATACTACGCAGAGATCAGCTCCAAAGTGCGAAAAAGGTTTGACAAGAGTGGGAATTGTTTGGTGCAATATGGTTTTGGACAATTTTTGAGGTATATAGTATATACGTGGGAATGTGTGTTGGGAGGTTGGTGCTATAAACTTGGTACTTGTAAACCTGAGGTGCCAGCTGCCAGACAAATTTCTGATGTGTTGTTTTTCATGAGATGACTTAGTGCCGAACCTCGCAACCAAGCGTGCAAAAAGTTGAAGACACAATGCAACGTACCTGGGAAAGTGACACGTTTTGGTGGGGACAGTTGCAGGTTGTGTTTTGGGACTGTTGTGGTTCTCCAAGGTTTTCTGAGGTTTGCTTGTGTACCATGTTTTGAGATAGAACCGTTGAAGCGGTGCTATTTGAAACAGTACGTTATATATTATATATGTACAACTTGGATCAGAGGAGACCAATGGTTCGTTATTGCTGAAGTTCCCAGGATGTCTGGCCAAACCGGCATTGACTTCTACAACTCCCGTCAGATGAGGTGCATGCTCAGTGCATGCGCGTTCGCTGCTAAGCCAGGTAAGCTTTTGAAACTAGAGTCTGAGAGGTGGTTTCTTTGCATTTGCTCATGCTAATCTCAAAGTGAAGCAGGTGGCACATAGTGTCGACCTTGGCCATTTGCTGCCTGGCTGTCTTACTCAGTGTTTGGCTTTCCTTTTTCCTTGACCAGCATGGCAGGCCATGAATGTGTAGGGCTCTATGGCAGATTCATTGCCTTATAAAGCTTCACACCATTTCTTAGCCACTTGTTCCTTTTCATTGAACGCTCAAGCTAGCTCAGGTGTGTGCATGAGTTTGAGCTATGTCGATGATCTGCGATCTCGCAGTTGGGTTGGCTTTGCAGAGGTAGCTATTTTGGCCCCTGAGTTGCTCACGATGAGCAAAAGAGAACGAAGCACTTGGACTGCAATAGCAGCTTCACTGCGAACGCCCATGCACGTAAATCGATTTGGCCTTCGCTTCGAAGTTAGAGTTTCATTGGAGGGAGGCTCAGAATGCCTTGATTCAACACTTGCCGGTATCAGGCCCTGCCAGAACATTGCAAGAGTGCCTCTTCAAAGTGTGGCTGGGCACCGGTGTTGCCAAGCTCAATTGATTTGCTGAGTCTGGATCAGTCTGAACTCTGAAGCACCCTGGCCGCAGTGCTTTTTGGCTGAAGGTGATCATGTCCGTCATGTCCCTGGTGATCCCAGAACACATGGCAGATGCGGGGGCCTCAATTTGGGGTGTTGGTTGGCTCGAATTGCAGCTTGGATGTATGCCTTTGCTTCTGGCATCGCAGGTGCTGGATGAATGGGGTGCCATCAGTCTGATACTAGAAAAGATAATTTTAGGTGTCTTGGCAATCTTGGTGCAATGGCCCTGCACAATCATGGTCATGGGTTGGTAAAATGCATGCTGCCATTTGCAACTCAGGAGCGCTTGGTGAGCACCACACTTCATGTACAGTGCTGCAAACAGGCCCCATCCCAGAACAGCAAGGTTTTGAGTTGTGTCATGGTGCTTTGCATTGTGGTGCGATTGGCAACTTTTTTGGGCGGTAATCTTCACGCCGCGGCAAGGTCCGCCCGCACCGCTATGAAACAGTTGCCCAACAACAAGGGCGAAAACTGTCACCCACACAGCCTCGAAATCATAAAATCCGCACCCCCCGGCTTTCGCGACAAGACACACGGAAAAAAGAAGCGTTTCAAAACCAACAAATTGAAGACGAAAAGTCAAAAACACAGGTTTTGGCACGCGCCTACAAGTCAATAGTGAGTCGGATGAGTGGTGGCATGACGCAACAACGATCGTAGAAGGTAATACGCCAAAAGTGTGCGCTATTTTCGTTCACCACCATATATCACAAGGGCAAGGGTTCATCCTGTTGCCATATAGCAAGTGTGGATCCAAACAGGCTGTTGCGTTCAGCTCCCGCTCCCAACAGATATAAAAATAAACAAATACATAAGAAGTATATACATATATATATACATACATATTTGTATGTGATCGACTTCTCGAAGCATACTGGCCCAAAAGAGTGGCACCGGGCCGTCGGTTCATGCATATCATTTGATCATGGTAGCGTAAGGCTGGACGATCCAAGGAGCACAAATCGAGAAGGTGTACCAAGAGCTGCGAGAGGTGGTTGTGATGGGGTCCCCTACCGGACAGGGGATGGACCCGCTTTTAGACCTGCAAGCCCAGATTCAGGTGCAACAAGAAATGCTGCTATCTCATCAACAACAGATGATGCAGTTGCAGCATCAACTACAGGATGCATTCGGCAGAGCGGCTCGAGCAGAAGAAGAGAGGAGCATTGCTTTGAGGCCGGCCGGATCGCAGAAGAGCGAGTTGGTTGATACAAAAGGTGTTGGACAGCCCTTCAAATTTTCTGGTAAGAGCGACCAGGATTTTTCAGAGTGGGTCTACAAGTTCAAGACCTTTGCGAAGGCCAAGTTTGGTGGAGATGTTGAAGTTGTGTTGTCATGGGCTGGCAAGCAGCGCAAGACCACCGTCAAGGAGGCCCACTATGGAGAGACGAAGGTGGTGACTTGGAATGACGTGTTTGGCAGCGCTGCAGATGACATTGAGAAGATCGACGACATTGACAGTATGTTGGAAGGTCTTGGAGCCTATTTGACTTCATTTACAACAGGTGATGCCAACAGAGTGGTCCGCAATTCAGGTACAGATAGCCTTGAGGCCTGGAGGAGGTTGATCAACGAGTATGACCCCACGAGCTCAATGAGACGTGTCACAATTTTGAGCATGGTTCAAAACCCCAGCAAGTGCAAGTCGGTTGAAGAGTTGGGGAGTTCGCTTGAGCATTGGTTGACAAAGAAGAAGCAGTATGAAGAGTTCACCGACAATGCAGGCAATCCTTGTGTGGTGTCGGACGATTCATTGATTGCCGGGCTTTACAGGTTGATGCCGGAGTCGCTCGAGGAGACCTTCATGCTCAGAGCAGATGAGTTCAGCGACTTCGAGAGCTTCTTCGACAAGTTGAGCAGCTATGCCACCACCAGGCACTCCCTCAATCTCAGTCGGAGGGAACTTGGATCAAGCCGCAACAAAGGTCCCAAGGACGATCCCATGGAGTTGGGAGCATTGATGAAGGGTGGCAAAGGAAAAGGTGGCAAGGCGAGCAACAACGCCAACAAGATGACATGCCACGCCTGTGGCAAGTTGGGGCACAAGGCATCAGAGTGCCGAAGCAAAGGAGGAGGCAAGACATCCAACAAAGGAGATCCACCGAAGACCAAGAGGATGGACAATGTTCAGTGTTGGGTGTGTATGAAGTATGGCCACTACGGAAAGGATTGCTGGAGCAACACCGGCAAGGGCAAAGGCAAGAGTGGCCAGAAGGGTAAGTTCGATGGAGGCTTCAAGAAAGGCAAAGGCAAGGGCGGCTCAGCAAATTCAGTTGAAGATGGACGCCAAGCATCTCAGCAGCCAGAGAAGGAGCCGGAGCTGTCGCATTTGGACCTTTCAGCCATTGGCGATGGAGAAGGTGAGCATTTTCAGGTCTATTCCCCGCTGGGTGCAGATGAGGAGCGAGAGGAGGACGCGCTTCTTTCGGATGTCGGAGGGGCAGCAGCAGATCATGCGGCACCCAGTTCAGAGGCTGTTGAGGTCGAGCGTGAGGACGCTGAGGAGGAGACAGTTGAGGCTTCGAGCCAGAGGCCGAGGAGGAGAATCTTCACCGGTGTCCCCTCCGTCAGGGCGAGCCAAAGCCGAGATCGTGCAGTCGGAGTTGACTTCTCGAGGACGCCTGATTGGACACCATCGATCCCGCCTGGACTGACCCGCAGTGGAGACGACAGTCGAACAAGGAGTCGATCTCGAGGAGGATAACCAGCCCAAGAGTCCGCATCAGTGCATGAGGACATGGACCACAACAGCATGAACACCGAGAATGAGGATGGATCGCCCACCTATCTTTGCAGTGTGGAGGGCGAAGAGTGGCTGAAGTTGAACTACGATTCAGGAGCTGTTAGCACCGTGATCCCCATCGAGATGGCCGTGGCCCAGGGCTTGCAGCTTCGACGTGTTGGGGACTACAGGGTGGCGAATGGCGAGAAGATCCCGAGGTATGGCAGAGTGAGGGTGCCTGCGCGAGGACATCGACGTGGGTTCAAGGCAACGGTCACTCACGTCCACAAGCCGCTTGGATCTGCAGGTGAGTTCAGCGCCACTCACGACGCCTACATCTTCGAAGATGGAGGATGGTTGATCCCCAGGAACACCAGCATGGCACAAGCCATGAGGGCCTTTCTTCAGCAGCTCATCGATGTCAATGGTGAGCGTGGCATGCTGAAGCTCTACAAGGAGGGCAATTTGTACAACATCTACCTCAAGCAGCGTGGCGACTTGCAGGAGTTGGGAACTTTGGATTCCGACTCCGCCTCGTCGGGAAACGAGCGGCAGGCCGTGAGGCCGTAAGTCCGGTTGATGAGGAGCCCAATGGAGAAGGAGGAGACCAGGGCGGAGGAGGCCCTGAGCAGAGGATGGAAGAAGGAGTTGAGGAAGAAGAAGGTGAGGAGAGCGAAGAATCTCCGCAATGGAGGGGTTGGGCATTGGCGGAAGAGACCGTCGACTACATGAACCCCAAAGAATTTGAAGTTGGCTTGACGCCCAAGGCAAGACCGGCTGGAATCCCTGAAGGGGCATTTTTGGCCATTCGGAAAGATTTCAATTGTTTCACTACAAGAGGCACCTGGCCTGAAGGACCCAAATGGTCCCAGGTGTTCAGGAGGTTGAGCTACGATGAGGAGACAGGTGAGCTCATCTTCGACGACAAGATCCACGACTCCATGTCCTTCGACGAGATCCACAAGCAGTTCGAGCCAATGGTGCGCAAGATGGAAACGCACTTCTGGTATGTTCCGGAGGCGGTTGATGGCATCTTGGTGAGGAGCCCGACTAGGGTAAGGAACCCCACCAAATCAGAGATTGAAGAGCATGAGGCACAGAACCATGCGGTCTATAGAAATTGGTGTGAGGTGTGCATCAAAGCTCGATCGACAGGAACACCACATCGCAAGAGGACAGAGGAGGAGAAGAGAGAGGAAGGACCTGCAGTGCACAGTGACTTCTACTTCATGCAGTTGTCGCCGTTTTTGGCAATGAAGTCGACACCGTCAGGCATGTTGGGAGCTTTTGCACTGCCGGACAAGAGCAACAGTGGTTTCACGCAGAGAGGCATGGCCCGCTTCATCACCGAGACGGGACACAAGAGGTTGGTGCACATGTCAGACAACGAACCTGCCTTGATGGCTTTGAAGACAAGTGTTTCGGCATCCCTGCCGGACATCGAGATTGTCAACAAGAACTCGCCCGTTGGAGATCATCAGGCCAATGGGAGCATTGAAGTGGCAATCAGGGAGTTGAAAAGGCAGATGAGGGCCTTACGATTGTCGCTTGAGAGAAAGCTGAACATGAGCCTTCCTAATGACCACCCGTTGACGTCCTGGATTGCGAACTTCGCTGCAGAGTCGATCAACATATACAGGAAGGACAGTTCTGGAAGCACAGCCTATGAACGAGCCTACGGCAAGAAGTGGAACAAGCCTGCCCTTGAGTTTGGAGAGCTGGTTCACATCCGTGAGGCTAAGGAGAAGGCTGGCAGACTCGATTGGGAACCGATGTCGACTCCGGTTCGCTTTGTTGGCCACCATGCGCGTACCAATTCTGTGATGGGGCTTTCTTCAGAAGGGTTGAAGATTGGCTTGGCCGTGAAGCGGTTGCCCACCAACCAGAGATGGAGCACAGATGGCATTGAGGAGTTGGCTGGATTCCCTTGGGATCTAGCATCCCGAACAGGTGTTCGAGAGGGAACGCATCTTCGACCTGCGTTGCCTTCAGTGGGGCGTGCGAGGCTGGCACCACCAACGCCGGACCTCCCGCCAGACGCACGAGCCTTTTACGTGCGCAAAGCAGACGTGGAACGCCATGGTTTCACGGACAACTGCAAAGGTTGTGCGGCCGTCAAGGCCGGAGCCCGTCCAGTGGCTCATTCCGACGAGTGCCGTCGTCGGATAGTTGCACTTGTCGACCCTCGCAGAGTCGAGCTGCATGCAGACAGGGTCGCATTGAGGTCAGAGCAGAAGGAGGAGGAGCTCAAGAAGAGAGCAGATGCAGAGGCTGAGAGGTTGAGGAAAGGAGAGGATGAGAGCAGTGCAGCACCTAAGAAGAAGGTGAGGATCGAGGAGAAGTTTGAGAAAGAAGGGGCAAAGCGGAGTGAGCCGTCTAGCCCTGAGTCACCTAGCAAGAGGTGGAAGTCCGTCGGACGCATGCAGTTTCAAAAGAGCAGCAGAGGTTGCAGTTGAGGAGCTCGATCCATCGGCATCCAAAGCAGAGGAGGCTGAGGTTGTCGTTCCAAGTGAACCGCCGGTTGTGGCGGTAGGTGCAAGTGACACCACCATAGAGCAGGTGCTTGCGAGAGGAGAGGCCGGTTCGTCTTCGGCAGCGGCTTCAGTTTGGACAGCAGCGCACAAGAGACAGGATCCAGCAAACGACATTTCCTACCTCGGCTTCGACTACGAGGAGGAGGTGATGTCGGAGAAGAAGTGGAAGCGAGTCGAGTCGATCGACTGCTTGAAGAGGAAGATTGAGGCCAAGAAGCAAGAGCTTGGCGCAGTTGATGTGGCGGAAGTGTTCAGCCCGCCAAGGTTCACAAGAGGAGCTTCGCATTTGGGGCTCAATGCTGGTTTCGCTGTTGACCTTGAGACAGGTTGGGATTTAGACGTCCCTGACCACATGAGGCAGCTCAAGGAGTGGATCGAAGTGCAAGATCCTTTCATGCTCACAGGCAGTCCGCGCTGTGACCCTTTCAGTGTTTTGCAAAACCTCAACAAGTACTACCTCGACAATGCCAAGAACAGAGAGGCTTTGGAGCGAGGAGAACGACATCTTTGCTTGAGCATTGATTTGTATGAGGAGCGTTGGAAGAAGGGCAAGTACTTTCTTCATGAGCGCCCCGTTGGAGCAAAGTCTTGGGATCATCCACGAATGGTGAAGCTTCAGAAGCGTGCAGGAGTTTTCACTGTGGTCGGACCTATGTGTGCTTGGGGCATGGGTCTGGAAGTTCCCAAGCAGGGTCGAGGGTTGGTGTACAAAGCAACCAAGTTCGTCACCAACTCCAAGGAAGTTGCAAAGTTGTTGGACAGGTGTTGCACAAACAGAACTGGTGGACCATTGCATCGTCACATTTCGCTCATTGGTGGATTGGCTCATCTTTGTGCCAAATACCCGGACGAGCTTGTGTACACGGTCCTCCAGGGCATCAAGAACCAGATGATGGTTGATGGTTGTTTGAATTCAATTCAGGCATACTCAAGTGGTCCTGATCCTACAGAGCCGTTGTTCCCTGAGGAGTTTCAAGAGGAGGTTGAGCAGTTTTATGATGACATTTCAGGTGAACAGCTGCCATCAAAGTTGGTTCAGGAGGCGCGTGCAGAGGAGATCGGATGGATTCACAAGATCGGCCTGTACGACAAGGTCCCCAGAAGTCAAGCAGCTGCAAGTGGCAAACCAATCCTACCAGTCCGGTGGGTAGATGTCAACAAAGGAGACAAGGCTCACTACAAGGTGAGGTCGAGGATTGTTGGCAAGGAGCTGAAGGCGAAGACAAAGGAGGCGCTTCTAGCTCATGAGTTGTTTTCGGCTACACCTCCATGGGAGATGGTGAAGGCATTGTTTTCATTGCTGGTCACCGACTTTGAGAAGCAGGACAAGGAGTTGGTCATGGGAGTGTTTGACATCTCCAGGGCTCATTTCATGCCCAAGGTTCTGCGAGAGCTCTATGTCGAGATCCCTGAGGAGGACAAGAAGCCCGAAGAAGGTGACATTGTTGGTCGGTTGAACAGAGGCATGTATGGCTTCAGAGATGCAAGCCATGCTTGGATGTTGGACTGGCAAGAACTTCTTCGTGGAGGCGGTTACAGGGTTGGAGCAGCAAACCCGGCGTTGTTTTACAATGCAGAAGAGTGCTCAAGAGGAGCAGTTCATGGTGATGATTTTTATGTTCTTGGACCGGTTGAAGCGGTTGACAAAGTGAAGGAGCTTCTTGGGTCCAAGTATCAGATGAGAGAGAGTCATCGCTTGGGTTTTACAACAGGTTGCGTGCAGGAAGCAACAGTGTTGAACAGAGTTGTGCGGTTGGGCACTACAGATGGTCGCCGCTGGGTCCGCATCGAACCCGACAAGCGGCATGTTGAGTTGATTGTTCAAGGTGTGGGCCTGAGCATGAAGTCAGCTGGAGTGTCCACGCCATCCATCAAGCCTACAGATGCACAAGCAGGGGCATTGGAGACTTCGGCAGAGTTGAGTCCGAAGGATGCATCCCGATACAGGTCGGGAGTGATGCGTGCGAGCTTTTTATCCCAGGAGCGTGCTGACATCGCTGAGGCTGTGAAGCGATTGGCGCAGGGCATGGCAAAGCCCAGGTTGGCACATTGGGAGATGCTCAAGAGGCTTGCTCGCTACTTGATCCAGTTCCCCAACATCAGCTTGGTGTATCATCAACAGAAGATGCCGGATTACATCAGGATTTCAGTGGACAGCGATTTCGCTGGAGACAAAGTTGGCAGGAGATCAACAACCGGAATGGTGCAGTTCTTCGGTCGGCATGTTTTGAAAGCAACAAGCAATTTGCAGAGCGTGCTTGGCTTGAATGTTTCAGAGGCAGAGTTCTATGCCCTAACGCACGGAGCTGCACATGGTCTTGGAATGCAGTCCTACTTCCTGGACATCGGCATCGAACTATAGGTCTAGTGCTCGAGAGCGATTCGAGCAGCGCGAAGAGCTTCGCCTCGCGCCAGGGTCTAGGAAAGCAACGGCACGTGCAAGTCCGCTACTTGTGGCTTCAGCAGTGCGTTGCGAAGCACGAGCTGGTTGTTCGGAAGATCGGGACGGCTTCTAACACTAGCGACATCTTGACGAAATCTAGCGACAGTAAGACTATCACTAAGCACATGCATGCGATGAGTTTTGAGAAACACGAATTCAGTGAACTTCAAAAGACGATCTTCTGAGTAACCTGGCTCCGCTACCATAGGTACTGCTTCGGACGAATAACGTCCTTAGCAGAGGAGGAGTGATCGACTTCTCGAAGCATACTGGCCCAAAAGAGTGGCACCGGGCCGTCGGTTCATGCATATCATTTGATCAGTATGTATTGGGGAGTTTTGCATCTGTACCGTATTTTACAGTGTTTTTATTCTTTGTGAGGCAGAAACCACTGCAAATAGCGATGTTTTTGAGCTTGCCGTGGCAAAGCACCGATATTTACAGTGTTTGTGAACCTGCTGTCAAAACGACGTGGTCGCCAAAAACCCTGCTATTTGGAAGGTTTTTTTACATTTCCCGCAAAGACGTCAAGCCTTGGCAACGTACACAAACACGGCAAAACCCAATGTTTCTGCCCAAAAAAAACGGCGAAAACCGTCACCCAGACAGCTCCGAAGTCACAAAATCTGGCCCCGCGGCCTCCCAACAAGGCACATGATTATAATAACGCGGGCCTCAAAACCGAAAATCGAAGACCAAAAGTTCTTAAAACCACACATGTTTCTTTAATTTTTCTGTTGCCGGTTCCGGGCGGGCGCGTGCACGAACTATATAGTCAAATCCGTGCTGTAAAAAAACAGTGTTTTTTTGAAACCCGCCGTCGCGACCTATCAAAAACCCATTGTTCTCACAAAAACACCAGGTAAACCTGTACCTTACAGTTGTTTGTGCCATCCGGATGATCACGCCCTGAGCACCTTCGGATACCTTCGGTGCGGGCGGATTTATATACTGGACGGTCACTGAAAAGAGCATTTGGTAGTAATCCGTTTGCTGACAGGAGACTTGCGCCGCTTCCATTCTGAGCCATAAAGCGCACAGGACCCCGCGATTCCAACTTGACATCATTTGTTTTGATACGGGCTGCATCATTCCCCGTTTTTGGTGATGCAATGTGCCCCAAGGCCTTTGACGGACGTATTCAAATTCGGAGCAACAAAATGTCCAAAAGAGTTACTCCACCCCTGTTTGTAAGCGTCTTTCTGGTTGTGAGATGTTGTGAGTGTTTGTGTGCAAAGCACAGAGTTGCACAAGGCATGATTCGTGTTAGTGGCACCGTCAGGAGCAGGTGACTCACTGACAGGATTGATCCAAAGCAAGTGAACCGTCCTTTCATTAAATTAAATGCTCTTAACTTTGTGGTTTTGGGCACTTAACCTGAAGAGGAAGGGCTGTCCCAGAGTTCCATTGGATGTGTTGGTGAGATTGAGGCCTTCTCAACCCCCTCAAAGAGGGTGTATCTTCAGCCGGACTTAAATGCCGGAAGGCAAAGCAGAGGCATCGAACAAGTGGTGCCGCGTCTCTCTGCGAGGCATCCGGTCTTGTTAGCAAAAAGGGGTGCAATTGCGTGCCATCAATATACTCGTCAGTTTGCTAGTTCTTTTAGTTCTTTTGGTCGATTGTAGGGTTCCATCAGGTTCTATGCCTGGCTGTGATCAACTCACAAGCCAGACACGACGTTTGGACTCGGGCATTTTAGAGCTGCCAGGCTACTGTGGAGTCAATGTTTGTTGTGTGCTCAGCATGACCTTGTCATCATTGGCCAACAGCATGGCACACTGAAAGCAAAGCAGAGCACATGTCCATCAGACAGAAACAGGGCAATAGAACTCCTGAGTAGCTGTTGCCTAGTAGCCAGCAGTGCTCTTGGCTGCAAGGCTTTAATACGTTGGGGCTTTATTTGACCAAGCATGGGAGCGCTGTTCTCAACGCGGGCTGTGCCTGTCTTGTGTCCGACGTGCCTAGCTTGAACCCTACAGCCTTGCCACTGTTGGGCGACATGTAGACGCCCATAAATTCACAAAAGTTCTGCAGATGGTCGGCTTTGTGTATCCAGTAATTGGGCTTTATACAATTTAAGCCTAATCTATTTGGAGGCCATCGCTCCTAGGTTGGAGGCCATCGCTATTAGATTGGAGGCCATCGCTTTTTAGGTTCCCTTCCAATTGCACTTCAGGGTCCTGGTGCTTGGGGTTGCTGGTTTAAGCATGCTAGTGACGTGCGTGGCAGCTGATTTCACCTTGACTTCATGCCAAGGTTCGGTACCGGCGTGTAGCCGAACCAGAGGGTTCGTGTCCGTTCGTGCCTTGCCCGGCCAGGCATTGAGCTATTCCATGCTGCTGCCTTTCACAACAGCTTTGTTTTTCACACCCCTGCTGGGCCCATACCAGGCATCCAAACCAGTGCTTGTTTTCTTGTTTTGGGGGGGGCCTAGGAGAAAGATTAGTGACTTCATTCAGGAGCCGCTGACGCGTGACGCGTATTTCACTTTTGTTGGCTTGGTCACAGTCTTGATTGGCTTCGCCATCTACCAATTGTGCCTTGTCGAAGTTGCAAAAGTCTTGAGATGCTTTTTCTCCTGCCATTCAGGTACAGCCAGAATGTTGGAGAAGCCCCCCGCCGGGTGCCGGAGTCTCAGAAGCAAATTGAATTTGTTGCATACTGGCCTGAAGGCCACTAACAGCGTGATGGAGTTGCTTTGCCTGAAAGACAATTTGGCGAGTTTCAAGTTTCCTTGGCCTGCAATCTGTCTGGAGGGACACGCCAATTCTGTCGCCAACGCCTACATGCCCCTCCGGGTTTGGCTGCTTAGTCTGCTGTGGTGAGCTTGTGCTGCACATGTGCTAAAGGTTAGCCGCTACAATCTCTTCCATGTGTCAGGGCCTTGCTGGAAGAGTTCCTGGAGCGGCCACCCAGTGCTCCCTCCATTGGCCAGTGGCCTCAGATTTGCCACTTTGGTCTTAGCATGTCTTAGCCACTCTTGTGTCAACCTGAGGCCAGCCCTCCTTCCAGGTGAGGTCCTTTTTTCTTAAAGCCCGGGGGGGTAGGCCGCGGATAGAGGAAGAGGTAGAAGAGGTAGCTATACTAGCTATTAAGCGTTTCTAGGTAGGATGCAGGATAGCTCAGGCTTCTTCAAGGAAGCCCCCGCCTGAGGGCAGGGGGGAGCTTCCTTGAAGAAGCACTCGCACAAATGATTTGGTTCCTGGGTTTTTAGGGGCTTTCAGTCACCTGTGAGGAGCGAGTGGTTGGAATGGCACCTGTAAGGCGTGTTGGATAATGTTGGACGACTCAAAGCACATATCATGAAAAGCTCTTTCGGGAACCTGCCAATGTTCAATTACCACAGCCACCCCAGTGCACCCAGCGTCTTGACAGCTTGACAGGAAAAATTCTGCTGGAGAGATCCCTGAGCGGCTGATTTGAGCGCAGCTCGGGATAGACACTCTGGAGAACAAAATGCCACCACACTTTACAGGTTCTTGTTTTGATGTGCCAACATGCCACAGCCTGAAGCACGGAGTAAGTTAAGATGTTGGAGAATGAAACAACGTTGACAAAGGCTCTTTCTTCGCGCTGCTTTGAAAGAAGGTATCGATCACGAGCGCTGGCGGCAGCCACGGCCACACCAGTACTGAAAACAGTGCGATACTGCTGCACTAGGAAGGCCAAATCATCATGAATTTACAACAATGTTTATTGCGGTGCATTAACGACAGGAGGTGCAGAGATGTGGGCGGGGCAACCGGACATGACATATGCACGGGCCCTAATCGACCAATCGAAAGAGGAGCTATCATACATCATGTTGAGCTTGCCACAGGGTTGGTTATAGGTCTTTGTTTGCACCATGGCGGACCTGCGAAAGCTGAATCGTGGCCTTGCAGCTGTAGGGCTGTTGCCGCCGAGCCACTTGACTGCAACTGTGCAGATTATGAAGGCGTTGGTGTGCAAGCCCAACGCCAATGAATGTTGCACTTCTCCTCTGCACGGACTCAATGCTCAGCGTTCCAGTTGAGCGGACAGACATCCTTAGGCAGAGACGACCACGAGGGTTGGCGTGATTGCTTGACAAAGCTTTGCAGCAACTACCTCGGGTCGGAGTCCAAGGAGGACAGGCTCACCTTGGTTGACACTATTTTGCAATGTTGTTCTGCTTTCTCTTCCACCACTGCAGGACTCCGACAAGCAGCCACTTCCAGCCGATTTACAGGGCGCTGCCCTGCAAGCGCGGGTGGAGGATCCCGGACGTGCATTGTATGCAAGACAAATCTAGAGAAGAATGAGGAACCTACTAGCAATGGCCTCCAACCTACTAGAGAAGAATGCGGCAATGTTCTTGGAGCTTGGGACACCCCTCTCAAGGATGCTGGCAAAAAGTCCCCCGTCACCGCAGGTTTGAGCACAAACATCCTAGGTCCATGCCAGTCTTTCAGATTTCAATTGGTTTCGAGGTTCCATGTTGTGATTCAGGTGAGTGATTGTCAAATGAGCGCAACCCGCAGACCACCTCACGAAGACCTGTACAGAGCCTGTCACTCCTTGAGACACATCCGACTCGAGTTGACTATCTCAAACAATGCCATTGGTTCTGAAAATTCCGACGTGGTCAGCTCTTGGCTAGTTCTTTCATGCTATATCGCCCTTAGTCCTTCGATAATCCGATACAGAGATGCGTCTAGTTGTTGCCCCTCCTTTGTTTGACTCAAGGGCATCCTGACCTTGCAAAAACAAGTTTATTCCACTTAGCTGACAGGAGCGCCGAAAACGCATTCTTGAGCTTGACTTGGACCTGGGTTTTGTGAGCCAGAGGGAGGCCAAGCTTCGAAAGTTCTCCAAGGACTTTGACTTTTAATAGCAGCGTCATATGCAGGGCTGGCGGAGCGTCCTTTGATGTATTTTTAGAGTGCGGAGGGACACATCGAGGTCCGTTTCTATTGGAATTTATTCTGCCGGTCACACCAAACTGCAGGACCCACTTCTCCAGACACGTTCAGCTGATGATTTTGCCAGATGCCTGCAACGGGCTCGGGCGCGGCTCGACTCCGTCAGCGAGGAGGAGCCTTCAAGAGCACAGAAATTGCGAGCGCATAAGGCATAAGGCATAAGTTAACATAGCAGTTTGCTTTAATATCTTAACAGGCAGCGCTGCAATGAATAGTATGAGACCGAGCGAAATGCATGGTGCGGGCAAAAGAAGGTAATTACATGTTAAGTGAAAGTGCAATAGGTTAAACAAGACTTGCACGGGGCTCAATGTATCTACAGTATGCTCTGAAGATTGTCGCATGTGATTTTGAAGGCAGGTTGACCAGCCAAGGACTAGGACAGGGCAGAGGCATATCGGGAATGAGGAGGTAGCAAAGTTCAGTAGATCAGACTTGAGAGCTCTGTATGGCTGGCGAGCACACGTGCACAGACAAGAACAAAAAAATATCCCTCCATCCCTCCATCCCTCCATCCCTCCATCCATCCATCCATCCATCCTGCCTTCCTTCCATCCATACCTACATGCAGACAAACAGACAGACTGGCAGGCAGGCAGACAGACAGACATTCATTCATTCTTTCCTTTCCTTTCCTTTCCTTTCCTCTCCTCTCCTCTCCTCTCCTCTCCTCTCCTCTCCTCTCCTTTCCTTTCCTTTCCATCCCTTCCCTTCCCTTCCCTTCGCTTCGCTTCTCTTCTCTTCTCTTCTCTTCTCTTCTGTTCTCGTCTCTTCTTTTCTCTTCTCTTCTTTTCTCTTACTTACATCTTCTTTCCTCTTATTTTCCTTCTTTTGCTTCTTTCGCTTTTTCTCTTTTTCTCTTTTTCTTTCTTTCTCTCTCTCTCCCTCTCTTCTCTTATTCTCGTTTTCTTTCAGCAATATGAGGGCCGGGCCGGTTTCACACTACAAGTCCGCAGATGCAGGAGATTGATGACGGCTTGGACCTTGCGGGCTTTGTGGAGAAGCTCACGGTGCTGCTAAAGGAAGTCACATGAGCGCCTTTGCCTGCCAGTGAAGTGGTTGTTCACTCCAGCTGTGCGTGCCGGAGAAAATCATTGCGACCCATCATGGCTCAGTTGTGAGTTTAGCATGGCTTCTGTTGCGGTATGTGCTCGAAGATTGCCGTTGCCATTCATTGCCATTCAGCTGTACAGGATTTTGTTGTGTGTTGTTGAATCACGCACACACACACACACACACACACGCGCGCCTGTTGACATTTTGTTGCAGTACATGCCTGAAGTGATTTCAAACCATACATCGAGTCACTTTTGTTCTGGTGGTGGCAGTGGCATCGTAGCCCAACGGACGAATGGCTGCCACCCGTTGCAGCACAGGCAGTCTAAACGAGGCATGGCATGATTAGATTGATGCAGCTGTTTCAACTGACTTTATTTTGTTTTAATGTTGGCTCTTTTGGCGTTTCCAGGTTTGCATGATTTTTGGAAGCTTTTGGTTTACAGTGATCAGCTTTTGCCCAGCAAGCCCCTTAGCAAAGAGAAAGGCGTGGTCACGCTGAGGATGTCCAGCTCCCTCACCCGCAGCTGGAGCGATCGTAGCCACTGTCGCATCCAAAAATGCTCCTTGACCCAAATGGCTGCTGACCATATATATCCGAGAGAGTGGCGTTTTGCACTACCCACTCGATGAATCAGCGTTTGAATATTTACTGCGTTTATGTTCTTGTTGCAGTGGAATCTACCAGGTACCAGAGGGAAAAAACCAAACAAAACTTGGACTGCAATAGCTGCAATAAAAGAAGAACAGAGTCGATCGCATGCCCTTCTGTCAGGTTGGTTCCCCCTTCGTGTTTGCTGGGATACCGGTCGCTTGGGGATGAAGCTGGTTGAGCAGGATGGCGTCTTGGTGGTCAGGAGCCAATTGAATTTCAGTTCGAGGGTAGAATTGCCTCCATTGTATCAGTTCAGGGGAATTCTATAAACCGTAAACCGATAGACGATGCTCATGGACGCTTATACCTGGCGGCATTGAAGCTGCCGAATACCCTATAAATACTGTATACACTTTGAACATCCTATCAATCAACCTGGAGTCTCTAGACTCTTGAGCGGAGTCAGGAGAACGCAGAAGGGCACCTGGGCAGATGAGATGAAGTTGCGTATCGGAGACGAGCTTGTGAGCATCAACGGCCAAGCGGTGTCACAGATCCTTTTCTGCACAAAGGAGTAAGGACGAAAGAAGAGAAGGACACCAAAATGGTCTACAAGTTAGTTTCCCAAACATTTAACCACGGCGACCATGCGAAGAAACCAAGTAGTATATAGGCAACATAGCTAGCTTCTTTTTCTAAGCTGCTTGAACTTCTAGCTTCGTTTAGTCCCCATCTTCATGGCCCACCTCTCAAGTTTTTGGTACTTGGCTCATCTCGATTTTGACATTGTCTTGGAGTCTTGGAATCATGGTGGGGTTTCTGAGGATGATGGAGTGCCTTGGCTCGATTTGGGCAAACAAAGACCAGCCGCTCCAGCCAATCAAATGCAGATCTGCAATGCTTGGACTTCTTGTGAGGCCTTTCAGAGGACTCCTGGTCAAACTGAAGTCTTTCTTGATCTTTCTTGTCTTGTTATGGCTTCACACGGCACCCGGTGGGCTCGCAGCAAGGCAAGAATGCCGTGACACGCTCTTGTGGCGTCGACCTTTGCGGCTCACCTTTGCACGGCTCTGCAGGGCCTCGGCAACGCCACGCTTATGGAACCGGCTTCTTGGTGCAAAACAGACGACGGTGACAACGGTGTACAGACATGAATAGACCGTAGACATGCTGTGGAAGGGTGAGTGGTGCTCTGAAGTTTGCAGGGGTGTGCTTCTGTATACATTTTTGTCTTCCGTTCTGACCCGGGAAGGGTGGGTCCATGCTTTCATTGGTGTGAGAATGTCTGAGGTTGGATCAGGCACGCGCATGTTGTGTCAGTGCTTTTTGCTCTGTTTGTGGCTTGGTCGTTCCATGTAGAGGCGCTTCAATTTTCACAGTCCCAGCTTCAAGATGCTCCACCACGGCCGTGTCTCAGAAGCTGACAAGACGAGTTTGAAGATAGGTACGAAGAATTTGTCTTTTAAATACATTTTGCGTTTCCTGAATGTTATTGCATTTTTCTCATAAAGCCGTGAAGCTGAGGAGGCCTACTACAGAGGCAGGGTCGATTCACAATTTGTGTCCTGCGCGCTCAAAACCATGCCATCCAGCCACAGAGTGCGTGGAGGTTGCTCGTTCAAGAGCTGAAAGTGCCTTGTCACGGAAGGTAGCCTTAGTTTGTGTGATTTCTGCAGCACACCTATGCACAGCCTGCGCCGCGTCATATCTCGCCTCCACTCAACTCACAGCAGTCGAAGTCCTCATTCTTTGTATTTCGCACGCAGCCGCACTCACCGAATCAGTCACCTGCTCATGACACCTGCCATTGTGTTTGTAATTTTATGTTGGCTCCGGACTCTAGATCCCTTCTTTCATTTTGGCCCTCTTCCTACCTTGTTTTGATTTGTCTGATTTGGCCTCATCTCGTTTCATACCCCCAACGCACACCATGCCTCGTCACAAGTGTTTTTCTCATATCCTCCTTGCTGGCAGCGTCCGCTAATTAATCCGATTTGGTAACCTTTTTGAATGGAGGGTTGCTTTTTGGAGTTGATGCCTCGCTGCCTGACTGTGTCAATCCCTTTTCACCAAACAGACTCTCCAGCTTCCTAGAAGGAAAAGGGCAATTGCAGCTCAGGCGTGGAAGTGCAAGGGGGGCTGGAGGAGGTTGAGGCAAGGACAATGATATGCTATGTCACAGAACAGTTCTCCGAGCATCTTGACAATTGCGTACTTACAAACGTCTCTTCCACCTAATTTTGCAATTCTTTTGTTTAGATATAGCATTAGTTCATTTTTCTCCACATGACAATGACACACGCTCATTTTCGCTTCTGGCTTCCTCCTCACGTGGCTTGTGAAGCCAGGAAAAGACGGTCAACACTGTCGTCACGCAGCTTTGGGGCAACCTCCAGGATGGCGCAGATTTCGTTGACTTGCTCACATCACAAATTAGCAAGACGACCAGGATGGACCTGCACCTCCAGTGCCATCGTGTGAGCAGATGGAGGCGGAGACGGAGGTGACAGTTGCTACAGATATTCCCGCGAGCCTTTCAGTCTTGGCTCTCGGCCACATAAATGTCATCACCTTGCGCCAGGATTCTCAAATTGAGCCTCCTGATATTTCTGGTCCATCTCATCCTCCCGAGCAACTTCCAGAGCGCAGTGAGGTTGACACCTCTTTGGAAGAACATGACAAGGTATCTGCCGCACCCTCCTCATTCGCAGCTGATTACTTGGATGACGACTTCGAGAACGACGATGAGTTCGACGAGGATTTCAAAAGTAAAGAGTGCAGGGACAGTTTGAGGGCAGATTTCCTGAGTGCAACAAGGCAATAAGCCTTTATGCCAGATTCCACTGTGAAAGGAGTCAGCCGAGCAAGTTGATGCTCACGAGCAGGGTGGTTACCCATCATCAGGCGAGGATCATTTGGCTGTGATGAGATGTGAATTATATAGTGAACTGCTACAGCTTGCCTAAGAAGGTGAAAGAACAGCGACTGCTGGGCATCTGGAGCAAAAGGCCAAGTAAAAGTCAATGCAATGTGTGAATGTGGCGGGGTATCATGTAGCACTCTAGCTAAGACGGCTAAACGTCAGATTTGAGGATTTATGATCTATCCCAAGCTATCCATGCATATAATAGGTCCACTGACCAACTGCATAGAATAGGGCATAGGCATAGGCTTTGACAACGCAGGAAAAGACCAAACAGATGGAGGCGGAGGTGACAGTTGCTACAGATATTCCCGCGAGCCGTTCATTCTCAGCCACATACATGTCATCACCTCGCGCCAGGATTCTCAAATTGAGCCTCCTGATAATTCTGGTCCATCTCATCCTCCCGAGCAACTTCCAGAGCGCAGTGAGGTTGACACCTCTTTGGAAGAACATGACAAGGTATCTGCCGCACCCTCCTCATTCGCAGCTGATTACTTGGATGACGACTTCGAGAACGACGATGAGTTCAACGAGGATTTTCAAAAGTAAAGAGTGCAGGGACAGTTTGAGGGCAGATTTCCTGAGTCCAACAAGGCAATAAGCCTTTATGCCAGATTCCACTGTGAAAGGAGTCAGCCGAGCAAGTTGATGCTCACGAGCAGGGTGGTTACCCATCATCAGGCGAGGATCATTTGGCTGTGATGAGATGTGAATTATATAATGAACTGCTACAGCTTGCCTAAGAAGGTGAAAGAACAGCGACTGCTGGGCATCTGGAGCAAAAGGCCAAGTAAAAGTCAATGCAATGTGTGAATGTGGCGGGGTATCATGTAGCACCCTAGCTAAGACAGCTAAACGTCAGATTTGAGGATTTATGATCTATCCCAAGCTATCCATGCATAGAATAGGTCCACTGACCAACTGCATAGAATAGGGCATCATGTCATCACCTCGCGCCAGGATTCTCAAATTGAGCCTCCTGATAATTCTGGTCCATCTCATCCTCCCGAGCAACTTCCAGAGCGCAGCGAAGCTGACGCCTCTTCCGTTGCACCGTCCTCGTTCCTGCCTGATTACTTGGAAGACGACTTTGAGAACGACGATGAGTTCGACGAGGATTTTCAACAGTCAACTGTGAAGAGGTTGACGGTGCATATTGTTTGCTCAACATAGTCGGCCTTGTGAAAGGAGTCAGCTGAGCCACAATTTGCTAGACACCAGGACAGCTTTGATAAGGGTGGTGTTTGCCACTCATGTAGCACAAGAATGCACAAGAGGCATAACAGGCAAAGCAGCTACAGCAAGGGTTCGCGACAGGGCCTCACACAGTCAGGTGTTGGCCACCAAGTGGTGTTTTAGTTCGTTTTCTACTGGTGTTACTGCTGAGGACGTATTCCAAGACTCGCAGGGCAAGGTGGATGATAAGAAGGCAGCAACTTATACTTTAAGCCTTAAGCCGATGGCATTGACGGGCACCCGAACCCGCAAGAAATGCAATGTGTGCCAAGTTACCAAGGCACTTGTTGTTTTCTGCAGCTCATTGAGGCCCAGGTGAGTGATCGAAAAGTTGTCTTCGCCGCAAGGGCCATAGTGCGAGGCTTGCGCTTTCTGAGCTCGATGAATTCAGCGTCCGAGGATGAGCAACTATCAAGGTCTCAGAACCTTGGACTCAGAGGCAGACCTTCCAGCAGGTGAAAGGTCCTAAAATAACAAGGTGGTCATATCCACCGTGCGATTGACCAGGTTTATCTGGTTGCAATCGGTTTCAACATATCTCACTTGACAGGATGCACCACTGCTGCTTTGCAGGTCGTGAAATAGATGAGAATCCGCCAGAACCAGACATTGAAGAGATACAGGCAGATGCTATATAACTAGTTTTTTGGCATCACTTCGTAGAATCACCATGCACGTGACAGAAATTATTGCGCAGCGACAAGGCACATCCGGCCTTTGCACGGCAAGTGAGTTTTTCCTCTGCGTGAGCCTTACGGCCATTATAGGGGACCTAATGAATTGTGGCAGTTGTGAGGAATTCAGTAGCGTCATGGTTTCATCAGGATGTCGGCGAAGATTCCAACAAAGCCAAAATGCGCAAAGGCCGATCTCGAAACCGGACTGAAGATGACATGAAAAACGCGGCCGCAACAACATGTTTGTAACAATTTTTCACTTTGGAATGCCTGGGAGAGCCATAGGCCTACATGAGTTACCCAGATTGTGAGGGCAGATGCTTGTTGTGGAGGCACCGCCTTTGTCCGTGCGGACAGCCTGCCGGAGTCAGAGGAAGATGATGAGGAGGACGGAGAAGCATCACTCAGGGCCCACACAATTTTACAAAGGATAGAGAGGACGGTGGTTTGTAGGTCCGGGACATTGTATCAATAGATTTAGGAGATTGCTGCCGAAAATGTCCTGGCAAGAAACCCCAAACAGTGTGTGTCAGGTCTAGAGGTGTAGTAGCAGAAAGTCTAGAGATTTTAGACGCATTGGGGTTGGTGGTGATGAAGGTGGAGATCGTGGTCATGGTGGCGGGAGTGAGTGAGTGAGTGGGTGTGGGTGTGGGTGTGGGTGTGGGTGTGGGTGTGGGTGTGGGTGTGGGCGTGAGTGAGAGTGTAAGTGAGAGTGAGAGTGAGAGTGAGAGTGAGTTGGTGAGTGAGAGTGGGAGTGAGAGTGGGAGTGAGTGTGAATGTGAGAGTGAGAGTGAGTGTGAATGTGAGAGTGTGAGTGTGAGCGTGAGTGTGAGTGTGAGTGAGAGTGAGAGGGTGAGAGTGAGAGTGAGTCAGTGTGAGTCAGAGCGAGCGAGCGAGCGAGCGAGCGAGTGAGTGAGTGAGTGGGTGAGCGAGTGAGTGAGTGAGTGAATGAGTGAGTGTGTGAGGTTCACAAAGTGCTGCGCCTGCCAAGAAATTTATACGTCGAGGCTCACAAAGTCCTGCCACGAAATCTGCACTTCGAGGTTCGCAAAGTGCTGTGTTTGCCGCAAAATCTGCGCTTCAAGGTTCACAAAGTGCTGCGCCTGCCACAAACGAGGCTCACAAAGTGCTGCACCTGGCACGAAATCTGCACTATTTGAGGCTCACAAAGAGCTGTGCCTGCCACGAAATCTGCGCTTCAAGGTTCGCAAAGTGCTGCGCCTTCCACGAAATTTGCACTTCGAGGTTCACAGAGTGAGTCGCCTGCCACGAAATCCGCGCTTCGAGGTTCACAAAGTGCTTGGTTTGCCACGAAATCTGCACGAAGTGGGTCACAAAGTGCTGCGCCTGCTGTGAAATCTGCACGTTGAGGTTTACAAGGTCCTGTGCCTGCTACGAAATCTGCACTTCGAGGTTCCTAAAGTGGTGCGCCTGCCACGCAATCTGCACTTTGAGGATCACAACGTGTTTCGCCTGCCACGAAACCCACAAACGAGCCACATGTCCCAAAGTCACGATTCACTGCACCTGTCACGAAATCAGAGCGCCTCGATGCTGCTTCACGACTACAGGGGCCAAAGGAGCACGGGACCAATGGACTGCAGCACGGACCCGTACATCAGGGGATCAGGGAACAAAGCACGGTCTCTTAATGTCTCTTATACAACTTTTTCCCGAAACAGTGTGGACACACTAGGGGCTCTTACGGTGTTTAGTTCGAGGGGTTGCGCGGGCGTGTGCGGCTAGCTCGCCGCTACAGTACATTCATGCCTCTCGAAATCCTCGAAGTGCATTTCGACTGCGCCGGGTCACAAAATCTGGGTGTCCGTGGCGGGTGCTTCTCGCGACTGCGCTCTCATTGTGGTGCCGCGCGCATTTTCGGACGTGGTGGTCACTTTTCGTGGCAAGCGCGAGGGAAACCTCGGAACATGATCAGAAATTATTGCGCAGCGACGAGGCACATCCGGCCTTTGCACGGCAAGTGAGCTTTTCCTCTGCGTGAGCCTTACGGCCATTATAGGGGACCTAATGAATTGTGGCAGTTGTGAGGAATTCAGTAGCGTCATGGTTTCATCAGGATGTCGGCGAAGATTCCAACAAAGCCAAAATGCGCAAAGGCCGATCTCGAAACCGGACTGAAGATGACATGAAAAACGCGGCCGCAAAAACATGTTTGTAACAATTTTTCACTTTGGAATGCCTGGGAGAGCCATAGGCCTACATGAGTTACCCAGATTGTGAGGGCAGATGCTTGTTGTGGAGGCACCGCCTTTGTCCGTGCGGACAGCCTGCCGGAGTCAGAGGAAGATGATGAGGAGGACGGAGAAGCATCACTCAGGGCCCACACAATTTTACAAAGGAAGGAGAGGACGGTGTTTTGTAGGTCAGGGACATTGTATCAATAGATTTAGGAGATTGCAAGCTAGGATGCCGTACCTATCAAAAAAGTGTATCAAAAGACAGTGCTTTGTTCCCTGATCCCCTGATCCCCGGGTCCGTGCTGCAGTCCATTGGTCCCGTGCTCCTTTGGCCCCTGTAATCGTGAAACAGCAGAAATGATCAAAAATTATTGCGCAGCGACGAGGCACATCCGGCCTTTGCACGGCAAGT